TCAATCACGACCCCGACAAGCGCAACGCCAAGAGCCAAGATGACGTACCCGACAACCGCTCTGGGCCAGAGGCCCACTCCCAGGGCCCTTCAGGAAGGGCGCAGATCTGAATAGGAGCTGCGGCAAGCTCTCCACCGCGCGCACGCGACCGACAATTGCGGCCTGTTCTTCTCCATCCCGCCCCGTGCCCTTGGGCGAAGTGGCGCTCATGATTCCGAAGCTTGAGAGGCGCGCCCGGACCAAGATCGCCGCAGCCGTTCCTGGCCGTGCCCTGCGCCTCCAGCCCATGGCCCATGGGGATCGAGGCGGGGCTGGTCGTCTACTGCATCCCCAGGCATGCGACGTCCTGATTCTTTCAGGACGGCGCCCCCGCAAGTCCCGACCCTTTCCCCGGGACCGATTTTTCGTCCTGAGTCGTTTTTTGACGGTCCCGAGGCCCAGCGAAGGCCACCCGGGGCCGAAAATGGCCAAAAACCTCCGGTCCTGATTTCTTTTCAGACGCGACCATGTCTGGGTCTACAAGTGCGAGCTGACGGCGAACGAGCCGAGCCGGACCCTGTCGAGTCACGCATCCACGCCGCCCGTGCGAGGTGCCAATTCTCCCCCGAGCGCGCCGCGACGGCTGCCCTGCGCGACACCAGCCATGCGGATCGTCCCGCTCTGCACGTTCGCTTCCGGCACGCCGACCGCAGCGTCTCCTTCGCCGACGCGCACCTCCTTCGCGCGCGCAGACCCTGCTGCTCAAAGCTCAAGCAGTGGCGAAGCGTCCTGGCTCGCCTATAGGCCTACCAAAGAATGTTCTGAGAACCTGTTATGGTTTCTACGAAATGCTCTTAGATCATTTTCTGGCTGGGACGGTTTTTTTATACACATCAGGTTTATGTTCTAAGAATATTGTTTCCTTCTTAGAAATTTCTGGGTCCTAAGAACATGTCGTGGTAGGCCTACAGAAATGCTGGGACGGTCGGTCCCTGTTCAATCCTCCGCCGACTCGTGCTCCTTCGCGCGCGCAGGCCATGCTGCTCAAAAAGCTGTGGCAGCAGATTCTCGACACACGCGGAGGTCCACGGTGATGCTCCAGCGCGTTGCGTCGCGCCTGGCCCCGCGGACCCCCGCGAGTCGATACTTGACTGCCTCTTGGATGCTGCGTTCTGCCCCGTCTTGGCTGGACCAGTGGTTCCGGAGCTCCAACCTGCTCGCGAGCCCCAGCGAGCTCCTCGACTGGGGCATCGCAGACCGTGCCCCCATCTGCACTGGCGTCGTCGTCAGGCGCCCCATCCCCATCGAGCAGCAGCGCATCATGGACCGAATCGGAGACTTTCGTCGAGGCCGCCCCTGCTGTGGGGCGACCACCCCGCGCGCGACCGCCGCGCCAAGCGGAGAGAACCTGCCCGCGAACTGGCGCGGGCTGCCCGCGGCGCTCTCGTCCGGCCGCTGGCTCCCCACATCCCCGCCGTCGCTTTGAGCCCCGTGGCCCGCGCCATCGGGCGCGGCGACGCCCGCCCGACGGACGCCCTCTGCGCGCGGCGTGGTCTGGTCCGCGAGCGCACGCGGTGCGCTGACGCACCTGCCGAACTACTCTATGCCGCTGTTTTTCGCTCCGCCTTCGCCGCCGCCAGTCGCGGCCGCCGCCCGCGGGGCGCCGCGCGCCGCATCGGCGTGGCGAGGAGAAGCGGTTTGCTCACGTCGCGCGCGACGGGCTGAAGCGCAGCGCGCCAAACTGCAGGCCCCCTTCAAGCGTCGCCGCGCTCTGCAAGCTGCGGCGCCGGATGGTCGCAACGTCTACCGCCAGAAGGACTAGCTCGACCACGTCCGCAAGTATTGGAGCAAGGTGCTCGCGGCCAAGCCCATCCGAAAGGACCTCCACGAGCGCTTCCTGAGCGACGGCGCTCCCTCGTGTTGGGCCATCGCCCGCGCCGTCAACGCCGCCAGCCGATCCGCCCCTGGCCCCGACGGGCCCCTCGTGCATCGCCTGGAAATGGCATCGGCTCCCTGGGAGAGGTGCCGCGCGAGACTTTCTGCGGATTCTCGCCGCCGCTGGCTTCGCCGCCCCGATCCTGCCGCCCGTCCCGAAGGGCAGCGACCCCTCCGACGGCGCGCTGGCCAGGCGCTCGGTGGACCAGCTGCGCCCGCTCCAGCCCCAGAACACTGACGCCGAAGTTCACGGGCCCGTTTCCCACCACCACCACCACCACCACCACCACCACCACCACCACCACCACCACCACCACCACCACCACCACCATACGCTGGAGGGGGGAAGGAGGTTGAGGATGATGATGATGATGATGATGATGATGATGATGATGATGATGATGATGATGATGATGATGATGATGATGATGATGATGATGATGATGATGATGATGATGATGATGATGATGATGATGATGATGGAGATGATGATGATGATGATGATGATGATGATGATGATGATGTGATGATGATGAGATGATGATGATGATGATGATGATGATGATGATGATGATGATGATGATGA